TCTACATAGTGAGTTCCAGGACAGCTGCGGCTACAGGGAGACCCTGTCTCAAAAGACCAAAAAAAAAATTGTAGAATCGCCTGACTGGGTACAAAGTCCACTTTGAGCAGCATGCCGGTGTTACATTTTTTCACACATTCACAGTCTGCCTTCTACTTTTCTTTTTTCTTAACACCTAGAAATGCAGAAGTCAACTGAAGTATGGGTATTTCGAAATCTTACCAGCTGACATAATGGTGGTTTTATAAATCCCCTTTGCATATGTGTCAATTCATCCATGGCCATTTAAGTCAAAGAAGTAATGTTTTAAATATAAAAATTCAGATAATAGGTAATGTATAGTTCTAGTATTTGCTGAATTTTAGTTTTGGAAGGTTTGGAGGGTTTGTGTTAACTATACTAACGAGCTGATTAATCTAACTTGTCATTTTAACAGGATTTAGAGTAGGAAGTACACCTCTGAGTGTGTGTGTGTGTGTGGATGTTTCCAGAGGGGTTTAACTGAGGAGCACAGCCTTGAAAGTAGCACCATTTTTTGGGTGACTGAAAAGGAAAAAGAAAAAGAAAAAGCAAGCTAATACCAACATATATCTCTCTCTGCTTCCTGACTGTGGGACACAGTGTAACCAGTGGTCACATTGCTGGCATGTCTTCTCACCATGATGGGCTATATTACTTCTTAAACCATGAGCCAAAATAAATCCTTCCCTTAACTTTTTTGTCATATCTTCTGTTACAAAAGGAAAGTAACTAACATAGAAAATTGGTACCAATGAGTCAGGCTGTTTCTGTGATAAACTTGATCATATAGGCCTTTGGAACTGGTTTATAGGAATGTGGAAGAGTTCAGATGGTAGGCTGGAGAACCCCTAACCTAAAATCCCATTGTAAAATTGAAACCACAAAGGACAAGTCGAGCCCTCGAGTTGCAATAGCAAGAGGCTTTTATTTTACACAGGTACCTGTGGGCACAGCTCCTGACAAAGGGAGAAGCGCGCCCCAGGTCTGGGGTTTGGGGTCTTTATAGGGCAGAAGCAGCTTACAGAAGCAGAAGCGTGGTTATTGGCTAGTTTAAACTATTACAAAATGCTATAGGGAGAGCGGGGGGGCTTGTTTATCATTAAGCCAGATGTTTCAACCATAAAACTTACTTATCAGTGAGTTGGAGATGTCTCAGCCATGAAACTCACTAATTAGAGAGTTGGCCATGAAGCTTACTTATCGGCAAGTTGGAATTCTTGACCAGCACATGACCTGCCTGAGACGTGACTTGTCTGAGAGGCTTCATGGCTCCTGACTTTTATATTTTTCAAACTGAGGTAGCTACTGAGTGACTAACAAGCAGGGAGCGTATGCAGTGGAGGACAGAGGAGTGATTCGTGCCCTGAGGAAGATGGGGCAGCATGGTACAAAATGATACCTACTTAGAATGCCATAGAATTTAAACTTAGGAATTGTTTATTTCTGGAATTTTCCATTTTATGTTTTCCAACCATGATTGACCATCAAAAGCAAATGTAAAAGAAGGGGCTATTGTATAGTTAATACAGATACTGGGAAGAAAGAAAATAATTTTAACCATTTTAAGAAAGGGTCTTGTGGGGCTAGAGAGATGGTCCTCTTCTAACCTGGGGCACTTGCATACATGCAGGCAATACATTCATACACATAAAATAAAATTTTAAAAAAAGAAACAGAATTGTGAAAAATGTCAGTTTTAAGGAATATTTGATTACATTTATACCTAATTGTTCTCTTAATTATTGATTGAATATAAAGTATCCAGCTTATCCTTTTAATTAAATTTGCTCATTTTATACATAGCACTGAATAATTGAAGTGTGTTGGAAGTTGAACCATACTGAAAGTAAACAAATAAATGATGAACATTTCATTTTAAAATCTCAGTTAATGTATACATGTACTTTTAAGCTTGCATCATCTAGTCTGCTGAAGATTGGCCAGGAGACAGATAAAACTACAACAAGAAATAGAGAATCTGTTTATTTACTACTAGATATGGTAAGTCTCATTTTAATTTAGTTTAATTTTTACAAAAAGTTCCAGTCCTTAGCATGTCTCTTCTTGGCAAGCCGGAATACTTTTGTTTTTCCATTTCTTGTGTTGACTCTACCCAAGCTGTATACTTTCTACTTGTGTCACCTTCGTTTCACCGTAGTTAGTATCAGAAAGTAGTCATATCAGAGCTTGAAACTGTAACTTACTCTTTTATGACTAGTGTTTTAACATGTTTGGAATACTTGGGCTATATATTTTTCTTTAATAGCAGTTTAAGTTTTCTTTCAGCTAACCGAGCCGTCTACTTTCTGACTCTGCTTTGCCAGCTAGGAGCCTTGCCAGTTCGTCTTCTGCTGTGTCTGTGAACCAGCTCTCCTCTTTTCATTGTGTCTGTCCAAATACTCAACATAACTCAGAGCTTTCACTGTGTTTATTCTATGACTCAACATACTCAGCTCATTATTTTTTTCCCAGATAGTCTTTCCTGATCACTCTGGCCTACATTAACCTTTCTTACCCTTTGAACTCTAGAGAATGAACTCTTAATGAGAGTGATCTTTTATATGTAGAGTATTATTGAAGATAAAGTGTTCAATATGTTCCTATTAGTGAATTGATATAATTTAAATGAAACATTTTAAATTCACTATGCCACACTTACATTTTAGATTTTAGTGTCTGTTTCTAACGAGAACAAAATAGAAATTGTGAGTTTCTACTTGTCATTAAATGCTCCCATTAAGTAACTTGACCTTTGACATATTTTTGGAATTTTTCAGATTGTACAGGAATCACCATTCCTGACAATGGATCTCTTGGAATCTTGTTTTCCTTATGTGTTGCTGAGAAATGCATACCATGCTGTCTACAAACAAAGTGTTACATCTTCTGCATAAAATATCTACTTATTCAAGACAAGCACGCATTTTTTTGTTGCCTTGGTTTTATCTGTAAACTGTGGAACTATTTTACTTTAAAGCCTGAAAAACAGTTTTGTGGATTCTAAATTTTTTTCATACAGTCGTATTTTCTGTTCATTGGTTTCTTAATATGGTTGTACTACAGTATGCTTGGTTGATTTAGGTTGCACATTCACTGAATTCACTGAAATCTATCTATAATTTTAGAGTATCGTTTGTTTGAAATACATAACATCTATGTTTTTGATATCTAATAATGAAAAAAATTGCTTGTTTATTTCTGGAAAAGAATTGTATTTAGTGATTATTTTAGATAGTGATATAACATTCATCTGTGTGTAAATTATTTCATATAGGGAAGAGTTCTGATCTGTATCTATGGTTCTTATTGAAAACAAAATTGGATGTGCATATCTGTGATGCTATGAATACATTTCTACTTTATTTTGAAACATTTGCCAAACTAAATATTCTAACACTGTTTAACATTAAAAATGTTAAAAGACTGCTTAGCATTTGAAGCAGATCATGTTCTGAAACTCTAAAACAGCAGCATATGTTGTTGCTTGTATAAAGCCTCGTAATGATTCTAGACTAATTCTCATGGTGCCCTGTTGGCATTAGCACTACCATTGTACCCTGCTGTATGATAAACAACTTCAGACATTTATCAACTGTTGATACAAATGTTAGTCCCTAACCACTTTTTATATGTTTTAAAATTTTGAAATTCAAGTGTCCCTGCCATAACATAAAATAAACACTAGACTATCACATTGAGTGATTTCTTTAAGATCTTTGGAAATCTATTCAGCAATATGAAATTTTTAGTTTAAATTAATCTTACAGTGTTTTCTAGCAGATCAACTATTACAAGATTTGTTTAAATATTTTGGAAAATTCCACTGGAAAAAAATACTGAAATTAGAAAGTCAAACTACATGACATTGTTTAAAAGTTAATAAAAGAAAACTTATGTGCCATCAGCTTGCAGATTATATCTGTTGCCAAATGAGTTATCAAAGAATGAGGAAAATGAGTGACCATAGAACTAGTGTTAGTCAATCATGAGTGGGAAACCCAGGAAGAGCCTTTTGCTTTGTGGTTGGCACGGAGAGCAGAGAAGTACATTTAGTTTGAAAAGTAACAAATGTTTTGCCTTTTGATTGGCATTATAAGACTATGTCAAGAACTTTGTGTCTGGATATCACAAAGAACTGCTGTTCACAGCTTCTTATAACCACTGGTAACCTCTGTTGAAAGCTATGAACCCAGTTATATTGTTCTTCCTTTGTTCAGATAGAGTGGGATATAATCATGGTGCCACAGATTATTGTGCTTTTTTTTTGTATATGGTTTGTCATTTGTATTTAAAGCAAGAGATCGTAGTTCCATAAGGATCTTTTTTTTTTTCCTTTCTTATAAGTTATTTTTATCTATCTCTGGCTGCAGTGCTAAGAATAAATGTTGTTTGCTTCAAAATACTCTATTAGGCCATGAATGACTGAGAAGGTGAAGGTGCTTGCCACCAAGCCTAATGACCTGAGTTTGATCCCTGGGACCCACATGGTGGCAAGAGAGAACCAGTTCCTGCAGCTTGTGATCTGACCTCCATACACATACTGTGGCACGAGACACCCCCCACCCATAAACACACACATACATTGAAGGAAGAAAATAAAAATTTAAAAATAAATATTACATTGTCATTAGTAATCCATTTCATGCGTGATAAACTCTAGAATCTTTCATTTGTAAGAAAGTTTTCAGCCTACTATTACAGCCTAAAAGTAACAGAATAGGATAAATTGGCAATTTAAAGTCACAAAACCTAGCCACAGAGCACCATGTCTTGCTTCTGGTTTAGATGTGTGGCGCCACCCTCCCTGTACCTTCTTTCTCTTAACTTCAAGTGTGAGATGGAAGGATATGTTACTGGTTAACCTGGCCAGTGTATATCCTGGAGATGAGGCTGTGCAGGTGTACAACCTTTGTAATTACCAAATCTTAACCTGAATGTGACTAGTTAACATTCGTTGTTTACTTTTAAATATGTAGCTTGACCAAATGCTCAGTCGCTGAGTCTTAAAATCAATATTTGGCCAAGGCTTAAAATGAAGATTATCACTGGATAAGCTTTTAGAATACACAAATAAATATGAAATTTTATCCAAGGACTAATTTTAGTTCATTTTAGTCTTGTTTTTATTTTAACATAGCATGGGGTCATTTTTTTCTCAGTTCATCAGCTGCTACATTGCTCCCAAACTCATTAAGCCATTCATAAGATATGATATACTTGGGGCTGAAGAGGTGGCTCAACAGTTAAGAGCTCATATTTGCAGTCTTTCTAAGCTACATTATGATTATGCCTTAATAAAAAAAAATAGCCTGACTTTTTCCCATTCATTTTAAGGCCAAGAGCAGACTCGAACTGCTAATAACCTGTTCCTTCAGATGTCTCTCAGGACTGTGCTCCCCAGCAAGGGCTCTGCCCATTCTTATATTAAAACAGTAGGTTCAGCATGAAATGGGGAAGTAAGTCAGGACCTACCATTACCAGAGAATCTTGCCCTTTGATTCCTAGGCCTGGAATATCACATTCATACAACTACGAACGGACTTTTCTCAATTTCTCTCATTGTTTGCAATGAGGAAAGCATACTACTTTTAGCACTTTGATATGTAGAACACGCGTACATACATACATACACTACCTTGAGGAAGGATTAATGCTCAGGTTACAAGCGGAATACATGACTTAGTAAGCTTGCTTATGTCATAAACTGTAACTTCGGTTAGGTAGAAGTCATTAATCATTCCTACATACGATACTGTAAAATTCATTCCTACATATGCAACTCTTCTAGAGGACCCATGTTCTGTTCCCAGCATCCATATGGGATGGGTTACAACTATCTTCAACTCCAGTTCTGTGGGATCTGACATCCTCTCTGGCCTCTATGTGCATCTGTACACATGACATACACTCACACAATAAATAAAAATCTCTTTTTAAGATACTACATAATGACTTTCAACTCGTGATAAGGCTTCTACCAAATTGTTAAGATTTACTTTGTCTCTAAACTGAGGTCAATCCATTATTGTGTGCATCACTCAATAACTTGAAAAGTAATGTTATCTATAAATGTGATATGGCTTAAATACTTGTGTTTCCCCAGGCTTCACATGTTAAAAATATGACAGTATCATGAGTGGATCTTTTGGGGCAGGGGGATTATGCCATGAGAGAGGAGCTGCAGAGAGCTCCTTGTGCCTGCTACCATGTGAGGACTCAGCAAGGTGCTGTCTCTAAGCCAGCAAGCAGGGCCTCAACAGACACCAAATCTGCCAGCACCTTGATGCTGCAATTCTCAGATTCCAGAACTGTAGAATACATCCAGTCTAAGGTATTTTGTTAAAGCAGCCCAAAAGGACGGACATTTTGGATGTGTGATTGTGGAACAATGTTAATTGTCTTTCAAGATGAAACTGTTTCTGGTCTAGAGCGATGGCTTTAAGAGCACTGGCTCCTCTTGCAGAGGACCTGGATTTTGATTCCCAGCACCCACATGGTGGCTAACAGCTGTCCGCAGCTCCAGTTCCAGGGGATCCAACACCCTGTTCTGACCTCTGTGGGCATTGCACAACATGGATACACTTACATACATGCAGGCAATACACTCATACACATGAAAATAAAAATTTTTTAAAGAAAGAAAAGCAAATATTGTTTGAATTGGAAGTTGCATGTCATCTTTTACTTGTATGCATACCAATTTAGTGTTTTTCCTTGAGCAGAAAGAATCTAATAATTACCATGTAAGAAATGCTTACATTCTGATGGCATCTTCACACTTCAACTGATTATAGAATTTAATATATAAAGCAAATAGAGATATTTTTCAGTCCAAGTTACAGATACAGTGTGTTCTAGTTTGTTTCTCCATTGCTGTTGGACAAAACACTGACCACTACCAACTTGGGGAGGAAAGGGGTTATTCCACTTAACATCTCCCGGGTCACAGTTCATGTCTGAGGGAGCCCAAGGTAGGAACTCAGGGCAAGAACCTGGAGGCAGGAGCTGAAGCACAGGCCATGGAGGAATACTGCTTACTAGCTTGCTCCTCTGACCCCTGCTCAACCTACTTTTCTTATACAACATAGGCCCACCTGCCCAGGGGTGGCACCACCCACAGTGAACTGGGCCCTCCCACATCACTCAACAATCAAGAAGATGCCCCACAGCCATGGCCACAGGCCAGTCCTATGGAGGCAATATCCCAAATGAGGCTCTTTGAACCCAGGTGTGTCAAGTTGACACTAAAGCTATCCAGCACATGATGTGTATCTTTATTTGAAAAGTACATTCAATTATTAATAAGTCAGAATGCCTCACTAGAGAAGGAGCAGCAGGAGGATTAAGAATTTCACGCCGGCAGGACTGGAGAGATGGTTCAGTGATTAAGAGCACTGGCTGTACTTGCAAAGGACCTGGGTTTGGCTCCCAGCACCCACATGGTGGCTAACAACCATCCATAACTACAGTTCCAGGGGAATCTGTCACCTTCTTCTGGCTCCACTGCCATTGCACCAATTTTAGGGGGTTCGATTCCTTCCTTTCTTAGTTAACTTTTACATATACTGGTTCTTCGAATGTGTGGTAAGGAGGTGGGCAGCCATGGAATCACTCTAGATTAGTTGAGGTAAGTTCTACTGCTCACACGTGCTCAGTATGTGCAGGGAAAACACTCATACACATAAAATAATATTTTTTTAAGTTCCATATCAGCCTAGACTATGTAATAAGACCTTGTCTCAGAAAAGAAAACAGAAATTAGTCATGGCCATAACTTACATAGTTACATGTATGTTGGTTACAAACACCTGGGTTACCGTAAAGCATAGTGGACTAAGCATTTAATTGTCAGCCCTTGCAAAGGCTAAAGCTGTGGGCAAAGGATGCATTGTTTCCCAGGTTGAAGCTATTGTTCCTTATTTACACCCACAGCCCCAATGTACAAGAGTCTTTGTGTGCAGCCTAATGCAAGGTCCAGCTGGAAGAACTTGGGATGGCAAAGAAGGGAAAAATTTAACCTTGGCTGATGCTAGGAATTTTGTCCAAGCCAAAAAAATACTGGCTCAAGTAATGAGAGTGATGTTTATTGAGAGCTCACTATGTACTAGACATCATGCTATGTTTTATCTAATTTAACCTTAAATATTGTTCATTTAGTCCTCACCTCTGTTTGATGATTAACCCCATTTACTGATGTGGAAACTGAAGCTCAGAAAAGAAAGTCATTTGTATAAATACTGTAAGGAATTAGCACAGGTGAGGATGTGAATCTGACCGAGGAGCTGCATTGCTTCTCAGACTGATCACATATTGACATGTTTCTTATTCAACATCGTTTTCAGCACTTTACAGCTCAAGGCACAGAAGATAGCACTAACCACTTATGCCAATCTTGATAGTAGGTATTTTCGTGCCCCTTCATTTAATCTCAACCAAATTGCCCACAAGGAGTTTCTTGTTATAAATGAATGAGGAACCGACTCTCAAATAGAGCTCTTCTCTTATCCATGACCAAGAATTGCTGAAGAAATGTTGAAATTAAAATATATGGATGTTGGATTTCTAGCCTATATTTTTTCTACTGTATCGTGCTCCTAAGCGCTAAGCAAAGCCTGAGTGAATGACAATGGGTTTGGGCACTGTGCTCACTTTGCCCTTACTGGTCCTAATGTGGTTATTTATTTTTCTTTTCTGTCCTCCTGAGCTTCATCTATTGAGTCAATTCCTTTCCTCATCTGTTTCTACGTGTTTTGGTTGAATCTGTTTGGAAATGGATGGATCCTGATGACTTTATCTTAGTTATCCTTCTATGAGAAAATACCTGACAAAAGCAACTTAAGGAAGGGTTTGTTTTGGCTCACAGTTTGCAGGTACAGACCATCATGGTGGAGGAAGTCAGGGCAGCGGGAATGTGAGGCATCCAGAGCCACGAAGTAGAGAGTGATGGTGCTCAGTTCCCTTTCCCTCTTTATTCAGTTCAGGGCCCCACCCTACGGAATGGCACCGCCCACATTTATAGTGTGTCTTCCTAGCTTGGTTAACCCAATCAGTCTAGAAATTCTCTTACAAGCATGCCCAGAGGCATGAGCCACAGATTTAGAATAGATTCTAATTCCCATCTACTCGACAAGATAATCATGACAGGCTCTGACCTAATCAAAGGATTAACCTCTTGATGGATTCATGATGTAACATTGCTGGGAAGTGGTAGAAAATGGAGGTGGAGCCTATTTAGACGAAATAGGTCACTGAAGACAGTGCCTAGAAGAGCATGCCTTGCCTTGCCCCTTCCTACTTGCTTTTGCATCTTCCTGTCTGCCATGGGTGAGCAGCTCTGCTCTACCGTGCTGCCACCATGCTGCTTCATCTCTTCACAAACTAGCAATGATGGACTGAATCTGCACCAAAATACATCTTTCCCCTTTCAACGTTTCAGGTGTGTGTCACAGTCATGAACACCAACAGACAGAGTGCCCCACAGAGGCTCTTGCAGAGGATCCAAGTTCTGTTCCCAGCACTCACAACCACAATCACCTATAACTCCAGCTTCAGGGGATCTGATGCCCTCTTCTGACCTCCAAAGGCACCTGCACGCAGGTGAACACAGACACACAACAAACACAATTTTCTTTTTTAATCTTGACAAAAAGATGTTTTGGATATTCTGTAAAGCTACTTAACTATTGAAGTAAGATTTTACTTTGAAATATACAGCACCACTTTTAGTGTTGGTGTATGGAGCTCTCTAAATGTGACTGAATGATTCATTTTTTATAACATATACTTAATTCAAGCTAATGACAGCCTATCATGTAGCAGTGGTGATGATGTTGGGACATTTTAGCGTGTTTTGTTTAGGCAGGATAGAGCTTTATGGATACCTAGTTCACTCTACTTAAGGGTTAAGTAATTTAACCAAGTTCACAGAAGAGGATTCGTGAGGGCCAGGACGCAGGCTGCTTGACTCCTGGTTGTGCTTCTGCTGTGTCATGCAGCTACATAATGCTCAGCTTCCATTGATGCAGCCATGTCCTAAGGCACCCTTTACAGTTCCCCCAGAGACTGCCCGATAGCGCTTGTAAGCATTAAATA